TCCGGGCATCGAGTGGAGTTAAAGTTTCTTTTGAGCCGAGTCCTCCACTCATCCGCCACGATCGGATCGGAACTCCCCGTGAAGTGCTTTGTTCCCAACTTCGAGACGTGCGCGAGTAAACTCAAGTAGTCTCCCCTCTTCCTTGAAGAGTTCGTAGGCAGATTGGCTTCAACAATCTCCACATCTACGTCCGCATCCGCGTCCGTTTTGTTCTCCTTCACTTGTACCACAGGATCCGGTACGAGTGCCTTAGTCAATGCGGCCATTTGTGCCATCATTGCCTTCATCGTATCCCACTGTTCTTGAGCCGATGGAAGTGCGTTTGGATTTTCCTTCCATCCGTTGCACAACTGTTCCCCGGAGTTTGATGAACCGGAGACTTTTGTCCAGCCACAGGTCCGGCCAGACTTGTCCCATCAAGCGTTGCTTCGACACTTGTTTCCTTGGTAACTTGTGTCTCCTTGGCAACCAACGTCTCCTCTTCGACGTCCTTACCCTTATCTTTCTTACTCTTTCCCGTTTTGTTGCTCTTACCCATCTGCGAAATACTTTAAAGTTAGTTACGGTAACTCATAGTAATCGCAAGAGAGTAAGAAAACAACTACCGTGAGGACCCATAAGCCGATGAGTGGTGATTCCCAAAACCCGCACTAATGGTCCTAGAACCAAGCATGCTCTGATACCAACTTGAAAGACCCCGATCCGGACTGCCTAAGTCCGGAGAGGTTCTCTCCGACCAAATCACTAAGTGATCCGATCCTTAGTCAAATTTTAGGGCCATTTCCTTAAGACAATCCGTTTTACGATATTCTGAGATTCGTTACTTAGAGTCAATATGCGATATTAGAGTAAACAAAGAATCGGATACTTTATTAGATAATTAAAAGGATTCGATACAACTTATGAGTTTGCATATAAGCTATTACAAGTCATATAATCGATCCTATTCTACCCGATTCATCACCACCCATCTTCCCGGCCTTGAGTCTCTCACGCCTAAGCCAAGTCCTTCCCACGATCACCATCCTTTCCTGAAAGTCAAAGAGGCATAAGTATCCGTTTTACTTATTATATGCAAGTCCATGCAATGCTCTCTAAGCCTTTAAACCACCCGGAACGAAGAACAGATCGGAGAGTGGAAGTATGCGCATCAGTTCGGCCGATTCACGGTAGATCTTAACAGATCCGCCGATCCTCCGCCGAGCCGCATCCCCATTTCAACCGATCCGCCATTCGAACCAAGTTTATGCATGATATGAATGATCCCCCGATACTACAATGTCACCCTAATCAGTTCCGGACTTCTTCTAAGTCATCGGAACAATCCCTAGGCTAGATCGTACGTATCATATCTCCTTAGGTTCGGACACAAGTCTAGAACCATCTCACCTTCGATCACACCGATCGTAACTCTCTCTAAGTGTTTTCTCTCAAGATGTTCTCCGAGAGTTTCTGTATTTTTCTCTAAGTTTTTCCGTGTCCGAAATCGCCCCAAATGCCTTGTATTTATAGAGTTTCGTTTGGAAAACCGTTTCCCAACCGTTTCTCTAGAAGGCGCCCATTCGGCCATAACCGTCATTGGTAACCGCCCCTCGTAACCGCCCAACCGTCCTTCCGTAACCGCCCAACCGTCCAACCGTCGAACAGTTACCCGAGCTTAGCTGAGCTACCCGGCAGCTGGTCGAGCTAGCTGAGCTACTCAACAGTTACCCGAGCTTAGCTGAGCTACCCGGCGGTACTTCGAGCTTAGTTGAGCTGTACGTGAGTTGGTTTGGCTACTTAGCGTGCATTATCCCCCTTCTCGGAGCTGATGGGCAGCTCCTATCTAGACTTGTCCGAGTTTCTCCTCCTTTTTCTCGGACCAAGTCTCATCCGACGATCCTATTGAGGATCGCGGGCGTTACAAAGGAGATGATATAAGACACAGGAACCGTAGTTTAATTCTTCTGTTGTGTTTTTTTTTTCAATTTAGTTTCCTTTTAAGTGTGTCAGCTTTTACATTGTAATAATATATTCTTAAGGAGTGTTAGTAAAAAAATCAGGGCTTTGTGCTCTTGAACTATTGATTTCTATTAAAGGGTTGACTAAGGTTTCTAAACTACTTTATGATTCAATGGAATTGGGTTTAGGGATATAGAAGGTAAATATTTTATTTTTATATATATTTTAACTTATTGGCATAAATAGTGTTTTCTACAACAAAAATCTCCAAATAGCCAATTTTTGCAATTTTACCCTCCATCTCCAAAATATGCAAATCAATACAATGAAGTAAAAACAATAAGACATATAACCATTATAAATATCTTCTAAAGTTTATTACGGTCACATATATTAGAATTGAAATCATTGTCGCGAGTGCTTCGATCTGATAAGTTATTTACTAAACTTTTGAAAACTTCAAGTTTCTCACAAAGGGTTATACTGCGTATTACTTTTGACTTTGTAGTATTGATTTGTATTTTTTGGAGATTAGGGTAAAATTATAAAAATTGACGATTTGGAGGTTTTTTTTTTTGTAGAACCCCCTTATAAATAATACGAAAATTAATTTGGTTTGGTTTAAAGAAATTATGGTTTAGTTCAATATAAGAATTTATGTGATGTTTGTTTTATTACGAACTCGTATTATTACAAACTTGAATTTGAGAAGAATAAATCATAAAATAAATTGTTCTTTTATCTTGTTATGGTTTATTTTAAAAAAGAGTTTGTGTGGTTTTAAGTTTTATTTGTTAAGTGGGAGACTATATATATTACATCCAATCATAAAAAGAGATTCTTAAAAATTCAAGAAAAAGGTGAGAATTTTTTTAAATGTTTTTAAGAAATGTAAGGATTTTTGTACACATTTTCCCCAAAAAACCCTTATATTTTTCCGTTAATTATAAATATGTGGAGCACCACGTCATATCCAAATCACAAACATATATTGATATTTTTTTTCCCTACAAATGACTTTGATTAAAAATGAAGAATGAGCATATGATCTATTAAATAGTTGGGTATAATGTAGAGAATTTTCATTCGGCATATGAGTTATATATAATTTATAAAACAAACTTGATATAAAATATATATCTACAAATGTTGAAATTTGTGTGTTAAGAAGAGTGTGTATACGAAAACTGTTTGGATGTATTGATACATGTGGCCGGGTTGATCCAGGATAAACCAAATAAAGGTAAAAGTCCAATAAAACGTGCTTCAAGGATGGAAGTCGGAAAACGTGACCCAGAAGGTTTTGAAAATGGTGGAAAAGAGTAAGAAATACGATTCAAAAACCGTAGTTTATTCCTTTTGTTTTTTTTTTCTGTTTTTTTAAGTGTGTCTGCCTTTACTTTTTAATATTGTAGGATTTTGTATTATCGAACTTGTACTTTCTGTTAAATATTTTCCTAAGGTTTCAAAACTAGTATGTGTTTCAATAGAATTTGGTTTTAGCTATTCGGAAGGTAAATGTTTTATTCATAAAAGTAATTCACATGACGTTATGGTTATATGATTATATAATGTCATTTAAATTACAATAGATTTTTGGACTTTTCAAATAGTATTCATTTACATATTTGAATAAATATATTACATGTTGTACTAATTTACATATTTTTCATTTACATATTCAAGAAAGTTTTTTTTTTGGTAAAGTCGCATGTTCGAATATGGTAACATTTCAATATGTAGTATTAATCGACAATAGTTATTCAATGAAATATTATTCGGAGAACGAACAAAAAAAAAACGTTCATGGTGAACGAACAAATTAATGGAATAAATAAATATTTTCAAAAAAATACACCAAAATATTTTTCATTATATATCAATAAATGAATAGAGTCAATCTTATGTGTCACTATATTCAAAAGAAAAAAATGTTGGCTTCTTTTGTGGGATTTTCCCCTTATTATTAAATATAGTGACACATAAAATTGACTTTATTGACTGATAGAAATTTGTGGAGGAACTTGCCTCATATTGAATTTTAATGTAAGCTAAGGTTCAACCATTCTTTGTGATCATGAGATTGGGAACAATCCGTCGTACTATCTATTCTAAGAAGAAAAAATCGAAAGCAATTTCAAGGAAGAAGTGATCAAATCATTGTTTCTTCATCAAAATTATTGAGTTTCATCCTATATTGCCAGAAAATTAGAACTCACATTATATGTATAGTTTAGGACCGTAAACCTCAATAAATTAATAATGTCAGAACCGTGAAATTCTATTAACTAATAGAAGTATTAATTTATCGATAAATTATTAATTTATAGAGAGTGTAATTTCTGTCTGAAAAGAAGTTTTTTTCGTTATAATCAATAGATATCTATAACTAATTACAAATATAACTAATTATTATATCTAGAAACAACACAAAAAAGTTTTCGATGTAGTAAAAATATTAAAAATAAACTCTACCAAAAATTAATGCAAATTAAAAATAAAAACAATAGTATAGTCATATTTCACTATACTACTTTAATTTTATATAATTATTAATTTATGATTGATGGGATTATATATTTATATAGGATTTTTTAAAAAATTAGTTTCACATTGTTTTATCGAATTGTGTTATATATTACATTGACCCGGCTCAAAACCAAAGAAATTTATAAATTTATAGTGATTATTAATTTATCGAATTTAATTCTAATTGTTGCCCTAAACAATGATGACTATAATTTTAGGCTAGGACTGGCCATGGTGAAGACTGAAGATGTCGTTAAGTAGTGATTAACAAGCTAATATATTGATACTTGTAAAGTTTTACACAACATCGATAATACAACTCTTTATGTTAAACTTGAGCTCATGATCTAATTATTGTATCAGAGCTACTGACTTTGTTTCTGATATAGAACTATGATCTTCACAAGAAGCAATCCCATCATCACAACCCCAGAAATCACTCTTTTAATTCTCACATTTAACTTTCCTATATTTATGTTATAGTAACTAAACATACATTTATTTATGTGAGAAGAAAAAAATTAAGACTTTCAAAAACACCACTTTTATTCAATTATGGAAATCTTGTAGACAGGTCTCTGCTTCAAATCAAGGGAAATTCTGAGAGGATCACAAAGGCTGACATTTCAGACTCTCTCAGGTATCTCAATGTTCCTCTCTCCATGAGTTTCACCAGCTTCTGGGTGATGTGTAATCCCAAACCTTCCCTTGATGTACCCTTCCTCAAAGGCTGAAACATCTCTCTTACCAGATCCTCAGGCAGTCCCGGTGCCGGGTGTATTATCCTAAACTCAAGTTCGACTCTCTTCATTCGTTTCCCTATAGCTTCTATCCGTGCAATTACCTTGAATGAGACACACAATCCTTTCAATGCAGGCGTGAAGCGTATGCTGCTTAAGAGTGTCTCTGAGAGGATTTGCTGAAGCCTTAGGTTGTCTCCATACAGTCTCATTGACGAAATTTCTTGAGGATAATCGCAGATGATCTGCACTTTACGTTCTATGCTCAGCTCCATCACTTGTTTTACAACTGCTTCCAGGGATTCCTCAAGGTTAAATTCGCTGCAATCCAGTTCCACATAGCTGATTTAAAGCGATTAAAAAAAAAAAACAGGATTAGAATATAAGATATTAGAATCAGTAACTAAGCTAATGAGAACAATAGAAAAATCAAGGTTTCAATACCCTTCTTCGATTCCGTCTATGTCTGAGTCGCTTATGACTTTGGCTAACTGCTCCCTGCATAAAACGCTTGTCCTCAAGAGCTGCTTTTGATCTTCACTTAATCCAGATGAATGTAGCAAATCTTGAAGGAAAGAAATTGCCTGTTCTGGGTTCTTTGCTTCTTGGCGGAGATATGCCAATTTGTTGAAGGCACAGGCGATCACCTGCTCGGATACTTGCTGAACCTGTAGAGCATATTGGAGCTCTGGACTAGGTACTTGCAAAAAGCATAAAACCCCGGTAACCTTTCCCTCAATATCAGTCCTTTTGTTTGCAGAAAGTAAAGCCTCGATGAAGCTACCATCACGATGGTAAAAGCCAAATAAAAGCTTCTCTATGTTCTTCTGGCCAGAAATCACAGCATTGAAACCTATTCTCAGCTTAGTTAAAGTGTCATGGTCTTTAAGGCGGCAACCATAATCATCTGAGGTAAAAACCTCACCGAGAAGCATTTTATTGACAACTTCTTCTCTCTTTATCCCAGAGAGCTTCTGCATTGCGTTGTTCCACTCTGAGCATAACCCATTTTCATTGGTCATAAAAATTGGTGGAATGAGTGTGGATGGGCTCCACATAATTCGGGCATAATCTCCTTGCACGCGGCTATAGTTTTCGATAAGCGTTTTCTGGCCTGTAACATCTTGTCCAATAAAGCATACACCAAGAACATTATTCGTCCTATCTCTGCTACAGCAAGTGTTGACAACTAACTCAACCGGACTGCTTTTCCTTTTAGGACCAAATGCTCTGATCCTGATCGCAGCACCGCATTCTTCACTACCTATTATGTATTATGAACACAAGGCACAGATGAAAATCTGCGAAAACAGTAAAAAAAGATGAAAACAAAAATAAATTGGAGCCAGAAACCACACAAAGGATATTTGCTTCCATACTAGAGCGGAACATGTTAGCATTACCTTCGAGAGCCAATGCTAACATGTTCTTCACGGTTTCTGCAGAATCGTCCTCAACAAGATCTGATACAGGTTTGCCTATTGCTTGTTCAACTGCCAATCCAGATACCTCAGCCGCTTTAGTATTCCAACCGTTTATAACACCAGAGGCATCAACCGCAAAGATCGGAACAGCTGCTGTATCAATCAAGCGCACCATTTCATTCACGATAACACACAATTCATCTACCTTCTGAACCCTATTATCCACAAACGGGACATTCACAACAGTCTTTGAATGCTCATCTTGCAATGAGCCTTTTATTATTAGCTGCAGAGAATTAATTGCATCCATTTCCATGTCATCCCAGGGCATACTTTTCCACCTGACAATTTCCATAAATGCCTTGAATGAGGATCTAGGGTGCATCCTTTTACCATCCCTGTCATTAGGATCATGTCTTGCACCACCCCACCGGATCTGTTTTGCAGTGCCAGACCGGAACCAGAAAAGGAAATCTTTTTCAGTAATATATACAGCAGCCATTCCACAGATTGACTCCCCAAGAACAGAAGCATCCGGATAGCCAGACTCCATTAGACTTTCAGTGGTAAAACCAGTGTTTCCTCCATGACTTTTGAGAACCCAATCGATTAGATCTCTAATTTGTGTCTCAGTAGGAGTAACCCCTAGAGACCAGAGCTTCTCTCTGTAATAAAGGGCTGCTCCATCACATTTAACAAGATCCATTATATTTGGTGACTGAGTGACTATACCTATTGGTGCATTGCGAAAAAGCATGTCACATAGCACACTTTGAGTTTGCAAAATACGCTTTTCTTTCAACAGAACAGCTGATTCCGCTTCTTTGTTGATTTGCACGCCAAATACTTGAGTCAAAAATTCACAAGCATATCTTAAAGGAAACGGCACGAACCTAGGACTTGCATGATGACAAACCACCAAGCCCCATAAGTGTCTTCCTGTCTGAAGATCTCTGTTCATCTCATCACTATCGCTACCATTAATTGTTACAGACATAACAAGAGACGCCACTGATCCCATATTACTCATATACTGTGCATGACAACCATGAGGAGCTCTCAAAGTAGATCCAGAAAGACTTATCGGCTGTGAGAGACTCTTATCTTGAACTACTTTAACTGGAACTGCTGAACAATCACAAATCATCCTAACCTTGTTTCTCATAAAGAGAAATCTCGAAGCTTGCGGTATATCAGTAGCGGAGTAATGCAACCCAAGATAAGGTTCCAAATCATCCCTGCAGCATTCAGCAATTACTTCCCCATGCCCATCTTCATGGAACTTATACACCATCACCCTATCATAACCAGTTAATTCACTAACTTCCTTAACCAAAGCATCACACAGCAACAACATATTCCCACCAGGCAATGCCTGCAATCTCGAAATCGATTTCGCCGCAAGCTTATACGATCTCAACGCCCCAGCAGCAGTCACAGGCACCTCATCCGGACTCACAGGCTCCAAATCTATAACAAGACCTTCCTCAATCCGATGCAAAATCGCATAAAAAGGCTTACTTGAAGACCTACAATGAAGCGTAATCGGATTCAAAATACTAATCTCACCAAATTCAACAGCTTTCTGCAAATCAGAACAACCTGGAGACTGAAACAATGACTTCACATCAGTTCCTATACTCAAAGCTTCACGCTGCTCCATACTTGGTACTGTATGTGGAGTCAAACCCAACATCTCTTGAGTGTTTTCACTAAAGGCAATGACTTTAAGGTTTTTTTCATCAACAACGATTAAACAACCAAAGGGTTGAATCAACATCCCTCTCTGAATCTTCTGTAAGTAAGTTGAGACAGCTGAAGAAGGAATTTCACAGGAAGAAGAACTTGGCATGTTCAAGTTTATTGAAGCTGAATAGTCAAATAAACGCTCAGATTCTTCGAAGTTTGTGTGTAGCTTTGCGTCGACGAGAACTTGTGAAGAAACTCGAGAGTTTTGTCTAGATCTAGTAGAACAGCTTCGTGAAGTGTCCGATGACATATTTTCTACTCTTCAAAACGAATCTGTAGAAGAATCACAAAGCAGTGAAATTTCAGAAATGGAGGTGAGAGACAAACCAAAGGATTTAAGGATCCGATTGAGTCCTTATTAGGGTTTCGTTTTCTTGGAGATTTTGCTGCGAATTCTCTGAGAGAGAGGATCTTTGGAATGTTCCTTAGTGGTGTGAGAAGCTGAGAGGAGAGTTCACCTCTTGTGCCACTAATCGAGAAATGCTAACCTCTTATGCCACTCTTATGTTTTGTTTTTATTTTTGAATTTCTTTTAATTCGTAAAATTGAGTAAAAGACATAAAAACCAAACCAAATTCTAAAAACTACGACCCAACCTTAATAATCCGATCCAAGCCCATGAAAAATAATCCGACCCATAAAAAATCTTCAAATTTTACCCTAAATCTGAAAAACACAAAAATAATCTAAGTATAAATCGAGAAACTGTAAATCGGAAGAAGAAGAGTCGAGTTCTCGAATCTCCGTCACTTCTCTCCGTCGCTTCTCATCGGAATCGCTTCAGACCGTCCGTTTTCGTCGTCTCCGGCGTCTTCGTGTTGCCTCGGACCGTCTGCGTCTTATCCGCCTTTCGTTTCCTCCGCGTCTCGTCTCCTCCGAGTTCGTCTTCGTCTCCTCCGTCTCCGTTTGCATCTTCGTCTCCTCCGGTTTAATATTCATATTCACACTATATAATTCCATATCCGAAATTCAAACATAAAGCCGTAAAGTCAAAGTAATTACGTGTTGACTAAATGTTTTCTTTCCTAGCCATACACCGTTGACCACTTCAATGGCTTCGCGCTCGTCTTCTTCTTCTTCTTCACCACACAAAGCCACAATCTTTTGAATTTTCCTCTTCCCTTTCTTTCACCATCATCTCTCTCTCGGATCCATGGCCTATAACAATTTCACCCGCCTCGATGCTCAATCCGCCGCCGAGAAAGCCGTCTCAGTGATCGGATTAGGTTACTATCTCTGCTCCGATGTTCGTTTCTCCGCTTGTAAAACTACACCAGACGGTTCCAGGTTAGTCGAAATCGTCCCGACCCGGAACCGTGACTTAGTCTTCCCCGGTGGGATCGTCGTTAACAACGTCTCGAGCTCGATTAAGTGCGATAAAGGCGAACGTACTCGATTACGCTCCGATATACTCTCTTTTAATCAGGTTTAGTAAAATCTAATCATCACTGGTTCGTGTTCCTGTTTGTAGAAACCCTAATTTTGAGTTTGATTTTTGTGTAGATGTCGGAGAAGTTTAATCAAGATATGTGTCTCTCCGGGAAGATTCCGTCGGGGATGTTTAATAATATGTTTGCGTTTAGTAAATGTTGGCCTAAAGATGCGAGCTCTGTGAAGAATTTAGCTTATTGGTTCATTAGCTTGTATATACGTGTTGAGATTGTTAGGAAGCAATTGACTCTACGTGATGAAGTGAAACGTGAGGTTCCTTCTTCTTGGTACTCATGTAGTTGTTGGAGTGAGTACTAAATTTTAAATTTAGTTGTTCCGGTTGATCCAGGGACAACTACTAATAATCCAGGGACAACTATGTGATAAACCAAAGACAACTACTAATAATACAGGGACAACTATATGATAAATCAAGGACAACTACATATAAGTCGAAGTTGTACCGGTTGAACCAAGTACAACTACCATTACGGCAGGTACAAATACTAATAAGACTTCATGAAAACACAAATCCATATTCCAAAAACACAAATCCATATCCAAAATACAAATTCAAATATTACAAAGACTAGGTGGTAATCATACAATATTACCACCTTGAAAGTAACCCTTAAGCCTCGCAATCTCGACTTCTTTTGTGGCTAACCTCTCTTTAAGATCATCAATTTCTTCACGCATAAGACGAAGAGTTTCTCGGATCGACTCCAAAGCAGGAACACCATAATTGGCGTCCGCATTTCGGCATCCACTGTTGATACTTTCTACGGATGTGGAAGGTTGCGAGTAACTGTAAGGCATATCTACTGTTTAAAAGATGAATATATGTTACAAATCTGTAGATTGCATCAAACTTAAAGCAATTAAACCTAAAATCTTACAAATACTAAAACGTAGAAAGTAGATCCATTAATATGAAGTACAAAAATCGAATTGCCATACCTTATGATGGTCGAAAACCCAGAATTTGCAAAATTAATCAAAAATTAAAAACCCTAATTTTTGGGGAAAATCTCAAGAATTTTCGAAGAAGAAGAAGGAAGAAGACGAAGAAGAAGAGAGAGTTAGAAGAGAGAGGTGAGAGAGAGATTCTCTCTTTATGTTGGTAGGTCTTAGTATTTTCGAGATTATTTATGTGGGTGGGCCCGGTATAAGTCAAAGACAAGTGTGAACACAACTTTAACATTTGGGTGGGGTCTTCGTCAGCAAGATAATCTATATAGTTGTACTTAGATGTTCAGTTGTCCTGATTTCTTCACAGTTGAACTATTTCAGATTTCGTATTTTTGGAGTTGAACCTTAAAAACGAACATAATTATCTAGTTGTTCACATCAATTTTCACATTATAATGGTGTTTAAGAAGTTTTGATAGAAATAGATTTAACACAACATAGTTTCCATACTTATTACATCTTTATAGGTGATCTTGAACTAAATGTTCCTTGTTACCTAAAGAGTGATTTGTTTAAAAACAAGTTTATGATGACATAAATTACTGATAATGTTAAATATCATATATTAAATATACTTTTGAAGTTCTAAATGTTTAAAATCACTTATTACAGTTTAATTTATGTAATTACGGTCTTTAAAAAGTAGTATCAGTTGTTCCCAGTTGTTCCGGTTGAACCACTTACCAAAACACTTGCAAATATATTAAACAAATATTACCAAGTATAAAAGGGTTTATATTACCAACTCAGCTTACAAATAAAAATCCATATATTACAAAGTGATATTAGTCTTACAAATAAAAATACAAGTACAAAGTTGTTTAAGTTGTTCCGGTTGAACCCAAATGGTTAACAGTTGTTCCAGTTGAACCCGAATGGTTAACAGTTGTTCCAGTTGAACCCAAGTGGTAAAATAGTTGTTCCGGTTGAACCAGAGAATTAATCAAGTTGCTTCTGGATCTTCGGGCTGCAGCCATCTCTCTAAGTTAATTCCTGGAACAGCTTTGTTACTCTTTCTGCGTTTTTCTCCAACGGATGGAAACCGTTTATCTTGATTTCGTCCTTTTTTTGGGGTATAATCCGGCGGGTCAGCCTCCAACTCTTTAATTGCATCAGGAATAATCCAATCTGACTCATGTGGCACTACATACAACGTCCTGTAATATGCCAATGCCCAAGTATCTAGTGATCTTATCTAATAGCACCAAATAAGTTATCTTCTCTAAACATGCCGTCTTAAACGATATAGCGTATAGTGAATTTTTAAAAATCCATTCATTCCCTTCTGAATAGTACCCTCCATAGTCAACATGTACGTTAGTCTGGCTCTTCTTCTTCATCGCCTCCTGAAATTACAACAATTTTAAACATAATTACCTACACAATTTGTCACAGTTATACTAGTTGTACCAGTTGGCCTACAGACTATCATTTGTACCAGTTGGCCTACAGACTATCATTTGTACCAGTTGGCCTATACTCTAACAGTTGTACCAGTTGACTATGGAGGGTACTATCCTGAAAATACAACATTTAAAAATAGCACAAATCTACACCATTTATCACAGTTATACTAGTTGTACCAGTTGGCTTACATACTATCAGTTGTACCAGTTGGCCTACATACTATCAGTTGTACCAGTTGGCCTACATTCTATCAGTTGTACCAGTTGACTATGGAGGGTACTATCCTGAAAATACAACAATTAAAAATAGCACATACACCATTAATCACAGTTATACTAGTTGTACCAGTTGGCCTACATACTATCAGTTGTACCAGTTGGCATATAGACTATCAGTTGTACCAGTTGGCCTATAGTCTATCAGTTGTACCAGTTTAATAATTAAACTTAGTTGTACCAGTTGTCATAGCTGTCCCAGTTGACTGAGATCTGACTCGATTCTACATAAAATATGACGCGATTCAACAATGGACGAGCTACATTCGTTTAATAACCATTGCAAATACCTCCATTCGCCAATATACATTCGATTAACCCAAATAAAACCCAATTTTCATTTGAAATCCCTAATTTAAAAAAATTTCAGATTACTCATAAATTACCTAAAATCCAAACAATGCAGCAATGTCAAGAGAATACATGAGAAAAAACTAACCGATTTCGAGAAGGAGGAGGCGCCTGTTGAGCCGTAGTTGCAGATCGACGGGAGCGGCGGAGGAGGAGAGAAAAAGAGCGTCGGGATCGGGGAGAGAGAGGGAGAGGAGAGAGACAAAAACGATTTTGTTTTTTTTTTTTTAATTTCTTCTTCTTTCTTCATTAAGGGTAATTTCGGCACTTCACATTTTCGATGGCATGTAGATTTTTTAGTGGCATGCCAGATCATTTTTTTCTGAAAAGTGGCATAAGTGACAATTTTTCAGCTGAGAGAGGAAGAGCCGAAGAAGATAGATGAGCCAAAACGTCATGCTATCTTAAGTTGAATAAACCGAACTGCGTGGCGAGTTGAAGCACCTGAGCGAGAAGTGTTGTCTCGTGTATCGATAGATGAACTGCGTGCCGTTTTTGTCATTTTGGTGTTTAGAAATTAGAATTCTGAGATCAAATAGCATCGGTCCATCACAAATAGCTGAGATGATTGGTAAAGTAGATTTTGAACATTAAACATGGAACTATGTTTGATTTGTACTTTAAAAATACATTATACATCGTAAAATATGTATTCGGTTTCTACATTAAGGTATGTGTCCATGACTATGAGATCTACTAAAATTCAGATTAGTTAGAGGTCTATTGGGTAAAGTAGATTTTGAAGACTATTAAAGATTTATATATTAAACATTGAACTATGTTTGATTAGAGTGGATACTTAAGAATACATTATACATCACAAATTATTGGTTTTCACATTAGAGTATGTTTAACAAAATGGCACAAACAAATGTTTCATGTGGCTTTCCTCAAGACTGAACATGGTGGTTGGATTGACACTCACACTTTTAAAGATATGTAAACAATCCATCTTTAGGGATTTAAATATAATTTGCCAAT